TGAGTAGGTGTCCGTTGGCTTGTTCTTGGCTGCATCCGTTTTGGCTGCTAGATTCATTGGGTTTATTGCTTTTCTTGCAGTTACAAACTGCTCAGCCTCTTGTGGACCTTTCAGTGTTAAAATGGCCATAAATTCTTCTAGAAACATGATATGAATAATCCGCGAGTTGGTCCAGAAAATAGACATCTGTAGCTTTCCAAGCATATAAGGCACGTGCTCTAATTCAGTCTGAGCTGTTCGCAACTTGCTTCCAAAATCAGCTGATCTGCACAGGCAGTTTTGACGAATTTGTTACTTAAAAATCCCACTTATGCTATTTTTCTTTTCTTTGCTTGACAGATCCTACAAAACACAAAAATAAAGTAAATAGCTCAAAGATATAAGGAACTAACTAAGAAAAGGCAAGTGAATTTGATGTAAAATATATATAAATATGAGCTTGTCAAATACCCCCACACTTAGCTTTTGCTAGTCCTCGAGCAAAACAAAGGAAACATGAAAAAATAAAATAAAATAAAATAAAATATATATATTAAAAAAAAAGAAAATAGCAAAATGAAAAACATTAGCTTTCCCTTATGTGACCCTCATAGAATTTCATTCAAGAAAACAACTCATCAAGAACCTTAGCTAGCACCAACCAAGCTAATCCAAGCTCATCTTCCTTATTCAAATGTTAGCAGAAACTTTTTAATCATCCTTGAAAGTGTAGTGTGTGTAATAGCCATGCTAATGCAATTTCAAGTATTTTTAAAACACCATATGCAAACGAGTGACGTTCTCACGGACATACACTCAATCACACATATGTTTAGTTCAACGTGTTTCGCTCAAAGAATCAAATGTGAAAGATCTACCATAAGCTTGCATAAAGATCTCATCTCCACAATCATAATTGCAAAACTTAAATCAAGAGGACTTTTATTGGATGTAATGAGGCTTAGGGAGAAGGTCATAGAAATGAAAGGATATGTAAACATAAGTTCCAAGCTACACTGCAAGCAATTCTCTCGTTGAGATTTACAAGAACTCAAGCTCTTCAACTACTCTACTAATACCTCCAACCACACCCCTTCACTGACACTACAGAAACTTTTATTTGCTTTGTATAGATTTTTTTGTTTTTTTTTTGTTTTTGTTTTTGAATCTTTTTGGAAGCAATTTTGCACATAACTAAACACAAACATCAAATACCCCCACACTCTTTCGTTTGCCAAACTCCTTCAAAGTACTTACACAAAGATTTCTCATAACAATCTCACATTGCTCACTAGCTAGCTTGGAAAGGGTAAGGAAAAATGTTTAAGGTATAATGGTAGACATATCTGGTGATAAGAAATAAAAGGCTCAACATATACGGCTCAAATTGGCAAACTAATGATAGCATTTTTCTTTAGGATCCATGCTTATTTGGGCCATGGTGATAAACCTAATGCCTCTATCCTTTTCAAGTTCATGCAATCAATGACAAACATTTCGAAAGATCGTTACGCAAGTTCTAGAGATTAAGTCACATAAGTTCATCACACATGAAAGAATAGGAGTGTATGAAAAATGCACACACTTTCAGTAGGCTCAAAAACTCACACAGGCTGTATATGGTCACTATATTCACATATGAAGCTCTAAGTCATGCTTTAGTTTCATATCAACACAGCTATGTGCATTTGGTTTTTCAAAGATGATTAAACATGTACAAAACTAACAAGAGAATCAGGAATTTCACACAACACATGCTTACTAAGTTCTTGATCACCGTGGTTCCAATTATCCAATTATATCATTGGGTCGAGAAACTAACAACAGTCTACTTCAAAACAATAAAAGAAAAAAGAAAAAAACTTTTTTTTTATTTTTTTTTATTTTTTTTATTTTTATTATTATTTTTTTTTTGAAACAACACTAATTAAGAAAACAAACAGAAACAAACCAGTTCTTAGTCGAAGGTATAAAAATTTTCTATCCTTACCCCCAAACTTAAACTGGACATTGTCCCCAATGTCAGAAACCACTATATATCATAAACTAAAGCTAAAAATAAAATAAATAATAATAAACAAAATAAAGCATTTGGACTGAAAACTTCCCCAATTTGCAGTAAAATCAAACGATGACCCCCAAAACTTCAACTCTGCAATAAACTCCAATGGTGGACATAACCCAATGTTCCTACAAAGAAAAGAAATAATTCAGGTTAGCACGCAAGAAAATTCAAAAACAAATGAAAAATTTGAAACTGACATAAAAAGACAATGAATAGAAATATTGGGTTGCCTCCCAATAAGCGCTTGCTTTTACGTCCGCAGCCGGACGGTACCAAGAGTAATCATCCAAGGGAAACTGGTTCCTGGAGGGGTACAACCTCCACATCATGCTCCGTAAAAGACTCGTAATATGGCTTGAGTCTGTGCCCATTCACTTTGAACACGTTGCTGGTCTTTGCACTTTGGATTTCCACTGCACCATGAGGAAAAATATTAGTTATAACAAATGGACCAACCCAACGAGAACGAAGCTTACCTGGAAATAACCGAAGGCGAGAATTGAATAGAAGAACTTTCTGTCCAATGACAAAGCTCTTCCTTAAGATCATCTTATCATGAAATGCCTTAGATTTCTCCTTATATATTCGACTAGACTCGTACGCATCATTCCGGATATCTAACTCATTCAATTGAAGCTTCCTCTGCTTTCCGGCAACACTCATGTCCATGTTGTAGGCTTTGATCGCCCAATAAGCTTTGTGCTCTAATTCTACTGGAAGACGGCATGGTTTCCCATAAACTAACCGAAATGGGGACATTCCAATAGGAGTCTTATAGGCAGTCCTATAAGCCCACAATGCATCGTTCAAGCGCATGCTCCAATCCTTCCTACTTGGACTCACAGTTTTCTCCAAAATTTGCTTTACCTCTCGGTTTGATACTTCTGCTTGACCACTTGTTTGCGGATGATAAGGTGTAGACACCTTATGTGTGACATTGTACTTTCTAAGCAACGCTTCAAGTGTTCTATTGCAAAAGTTGTTGTGAAAATGGACAAACACTTCCACTCACTCCCCTAATGATCTTGTTGTTGATGGACTTTGTGACACACACAAGGATGGATGAATCACACACACACACACTTGAGAAACCAACCAAGCACAAAGTGACACAAGTATTTTAGAGGTTCAGCAATTGCCTACATCCTCTTGGTGATCCTCTTGAGAAATTCACTAATGAAAGAATAAGTTACAACTTTGGTTTACAAAGAAACCCCCTTAGAACTCTATTCTCTCCCAAGCTCTCTTTT